AAGTATGACTAATCCATGGAGCCAGTCTCACTAGAGCTCCAGCCAGCTGTAAACTCAGTTCGCCCCGACCTACCTTAAACCCCACAGTACAGCTGGGGAGTACTTAAACAAGACCTTTCTTTCTTTTTTTTTTTTTTTTTTTTGAGACAGAGCCTCAAGCTGTCCCCCTGGGTAGAGTGCCGTGGCATTACAGCTCACAGCAACCTCCAACTCCTGGGCTCCAGCGAGTCTCTTGCCTCTGCCTCCCAAGTAGCTGGGACCACAGGCGCCCGCCACAACGCCCAGCTATTTTTTGGTTGCAGCCGTCATTGTTGTTTGGCGGGTCCGGGCTGGGGATTCTAACCCACCACCTTAGGTGTACGTGGCTGGCGTCTTAGCCGGTTGAGCTATAGGCGCCGAGCCAACAAGACCTTTCTAAAGACTTAGTTTGCCAACAGGGCAGTCAGACTCAGGGTCATCTGAAAACATCCTTCCCTCCCTGCTCATCAAGGGACACACTCCTATTCTGCCCCCAACCCCATTCCCTAGCCTATTCCACTTATCAGGATAATTAGGTAGGGGGTAGCGGAGCAGAGAGGACAGTCATCAGTAAAGGCTGACATTTGCTTGGAAGAGGGGCAGAAAGAAATGAGTGGGGAGCAGAGATGCAACCTATGCATAAGGATTCAGCACTGAAGGGGAAACCTTCGCATGCCACGGAGTGGGAGGCAGCTGGTGCCAAAAGAAAAGGGGAAGAGGGATTGCACTGCTGCTGGTTAGGAGCGAGATTTCCAGTAAATGCTGAAAATTTATTATGCTTGGTTAATGGACTGTTTCTTTGAAGGCAAGACTGAACTTACATTGAGCCTCGTGGGAGCTAGCATTTTTTTCAGGATACACAGCAACTAGGATACATGTGCAATTTGTTCACAGGTATACCTAGCTCACTTCTCTTCATTGCAGAACTCACTGTCGTAGCAGGGCAACTGCATCCAGCTCAACATAGCAGGTAGAGTAGCTATAAGGGCGTTCATAGAAAGTGGCTGGCTTGGCATTTTGATCACCTTCCAAAGTCTAGGAGGTTCATCGGGGAAGATCCAGCCTGGCCTCTCTCCTGCTGTATCATACCCAGTGTCTAAATGTCATCTCCATCCGAGGCTGCTGCACAGACAAATGAACTGCATTCCTCTGATACAGACGTGCAACTGTGTCCCCCAATTCAGTGCTCCCTGACATTGGCTATACATTAAAAAAACTTAAAATTCTTGAAGCCCAGGTTGTACCCCAGACTGTTTCACTAGAATATCTGGGTAGGACCCAGAAATCTATAGTTTTTCAAACTCCCCTGCGTACAGCCAGGCTTGAGAATGATTGTGAGATCCCAATCACTGACTCATTCCAGGTTTGCTCATCAGCCAAACAGACACAAGCAAGCCAAACACATTCCTAGTCAGCATCTGGCTGACTAGGAAAATACCTAATATCTAACAGTAATATTATCTAACAGTAGTATTAGGAAAATACCTAATATCTAACAGTAATGCTTATCAAGAACCCCCAAGCTCTGAACAGCTTATCTGAGCACCCAAGCTTCAGCCACAGCTGGGATCAGTATGGGACACATGAATTGCTGCTTTTTGCAGATACAAAACCTTGGCTCTTGCAAAATCTCAAAAGCCCTGGGGAAACAGCACTTGGATACATGAACTAGACCACACTGTCCACTAGCCTGTGGCCTCTGCTGCCCTTCTGCCTATTGTCCTGGCATGTTCTTCCCACACATGCACTCATCAGCACTCACCAGTGGTGCAAGCTGGCCACTCCCCACAGGCCTCGCTTCCTATGCCAACTAAATCTGCCTGGGGCTGTCACCTCACCTGGGCCCCTTCCTGCTTCCACCTAGTTCTGCTACTGGTGCCATTGAGCCACTGATCTGTCACAAAAATGAGTGAGAACACCTATCTTCCCTGTTTTGTGTCCTAAAGCAGGGGCCCCATGGTAGAGGCATTGCTGACCCCCAACAAACAGTTTTAAAGCAAAGTACTCACCCCAGGTCCTTTTCAACCAGGCCTGGGACTCACTCCTCCAGCCCAGGACTATGCCTTACTGCCTCTCACTCCTCCTTGTGCAAAGAGTATCTCACCAAACCCCTAGAGAGACATAGCTGAAGCTCAAAGGAGGAACACCCAAGTGCCCTGGGTACTCTTGGTACCAATGCTAGCAGACCAGTATTCTACAACCTCCCTCACTGTAAGGTCAGATAGGGGCACAGAGCTGGGTAGGATGGGCTATGTGGGAGGTGGTGACACCTTATGAATATCATCACCCTGGCCCTTCCCTCTATGCCAGGGAATAGCAATTTGCAGGGGGGTTGCTGAAGGTACTCTAGGGACACTAGGGGTCTGGAAGGGACCTAGAAGGTGGGTGAGACATGCACAATGGAAACCTAGTCTGTTGGAATTTTAAATATATTTTTTAAAGTTTGGACTCCTGCAATGGTTAATTTTTGAAACGTGTGTCTAAAGAATATACACACAAAAGCAACAGTCCCCTGGCTCTCTCTCCATATTCCCAGGCCCATTCTCTAAAGCAGGCATCCTCAAACTACAGCCTGCAGGCCCCATGTGGCCCACCTACGACATTTATCCCACCCGCTGGGTGTTTTTGCTGCCGCTGCCTGTCCTGCTTAGCAGCCGACTCATTCTGGCGCCCGCAGTCTGGCCCTCCAAAGGTCTGAGGGACAGTGAACTGGCCCCCTGTTTAAAAAGTTTGAGGACCCCTGCTAAAGCAGCAGTTCTCAACCTGTGGGTTGCGACCCCTTTGTAACAATGAAAGTACATCACTACATCACGGCATTAGGAAGGTTGAGAACCACTGCTCTAAAGTGAGCAATGGCTCCTAGGTCTATAATTCTACAAAACCATGAGTGTACATATACACCTCACCTAGCCTCAGGCCTCCCCTGCCGCTCTCCACTGCCCATCGCGGAAGCTCCCCTTCTCCCCTCCCCAAACAGTGCTGGTTTCAGTTTCTCCATGACATCTAGTGGACCACTGGCATTCTTTTTTTTTTTTTTTTTTTTTGGAGACAGAGCCTCAAGCTGTCCCCCTGGGTAGAGTGCCGTGGCATTACAGCTCACAGCAACCTCCAACTCCTGGGCTCAAGCGAGTCTCCTGCCTCCGCCTCCCAAGTAGCTGGGACCACAGGCGCCCGCCACAACGCCCGGCTATTTTTTGGTTGCAGCCGTCATTGTTGTTTGGCGGGTCCAGGCTGGGGATTCGAACCCGCCACCTTAGGTGTACGTGGCTGGCGCCTTAGCCGGTTGAGCTATAGGCGCCGAGCCGACCACTGGCATTCTAATCCCTTCTCCATCCTTCCTTCCCAGGCTTCTACCTCCACCCAGGGTAGCTTTAATCTTACCTAGATTATGGGATGGAAAGAAGTGCCCAGATTTCAGAGGAATTCAGACCCTGGAAAGACAAGACTCATGAACTGACTGGATGTTCGGGACAGTCAAGAGTGCAGGGTCCTGGGTGGCTTTGGGGTCATGCAAGTGGGTACAGTGGAGTACCTCACTGAGAGGAAGAGGTACTGGCCTGGCAGGCAGGTGCTAGTGCCACACAGCCCCTGGGCAGTAAGGGAAGTGGGCTGTGTGGCTTAGACCACCTAGGAGCATACAGACTAAAAAGAAATGAGGCCCCAGCCCCGAGCTGGAAGCACACCACATCTCAGGGAACAAAGACGCCTGGGGGGGGGGGTTTGAGAAGTACCCAGAGTCACAGGGGGATACCCTCCCGAAGCTGAGGAAAGCAATCTTTCCGGCAGCAGGGTCTAATGCCAGTCAAGAGTAATAAATGGGACCACTGGACTGAGAGGCATGGCGACAAGCCTCAGTGCTAGCGGGCAGGGCTCACTGCCATGGTGGGAAGGGGCCAGGAGAGGCAGGGCAATGAGGGTGTTGAGGGGCAAACAAGGGGAAGCAGGGGTGGGTGAGATTTCTGAGATGGGGAAGATCTCATCAGAGTGTTTCATTCAGATAAGGTGGCAGCTTGACACAGCTTGAGATGGTGCAGGAGCTGCAGAGGAGCAGATAGAGTGAGGCTCCCTAGGGATTAGAGGGCTGAGGCCAGGAGACCAGGGTGAGCCCTGGAGGAAGGGGGACATCATGGGAAGGAGTGTCATGGGGACAGATAAATCTCTAATTAGGTGGCAAGAGGCCAACTATCTCCACACCATCGGAGGGCTCCTGTCTTCTCCTTGGGACAGAAGGGGCAGCCATCAGCTGAGGTGAGGGTCAGGATGTGGCCAGAACAAGGGAGGTGGAGGGGTGTGCTGCCCTCTGTGGCCAAGGACCATCAACTGTACCTTCCCAGCAGTGTGGCTTTTCTCCAATAGATCTCGGCCTCCTGGCGGCAGCACAGAAGCAGCAAGGGATTGAATCCTTCCATGATTTTCTGCCGGGCAGGGAGCTGAGATCCTGGTGAAAGGCTGGCTGAAATGGGGACCACACTAGCTAGAGGGAGGTAAGGGCAGGATGGCCGAGAGCTTAAGAAACAGGAGGCTGTGGTCAGTGTCCGAGGGGCCAGTTGAGACATGTACACTGCTCAGTACACAAGGCTGGCAGCTGAAGCAGAATGGGTGAAGATCTTTTAGAGAGGTCGAATGGAAACCAGGGTGGTGGATGCTGAAGTCACCCAGGAGGCAGAGGCTCAAATCTTCCCTCCATGAGGGCAAGGCAGGTGCGTGTCTGAGATGAGGTCAGGAGAGTGGTGTCCATCACAGGAGCTGGAACTCAAAGGCACAGGAAGTCTTCCCTGATGGCAGGGACCAGAACAGTCCAGAGGCACAGGAGGTCTTGATGCCACCTCCCACCTCTGTTATTCACAAGTATGAGAGAAAAGGGGACATGGAAGGGAACCCAGAGGACTAAGTTCCAGTGTAAGGAGAAGACAACAACCACCTGCAGGAAAGAGCTCAGTCCACCAGGGATGGTCACGGAATAAGGGTTCTTCACAAGGGTGATCATTCAACAAGTATTTATTGAGCAACCACTTCTGCCAGGTCTTGGGAGGGACAGTCCTTGTGTTCATGGGGCTTAGATCCTGAAGAGGCCCAAAGGCTTGGGGACAGCAAATGGGATATGGAAGGCTATGCTATTTGTGGGGGTACTCAGGATACAGGAGGGTGCAGAATGAGGCTTCTTTCGTGGGCAGAGAGGCCCGTAATGGTGATCTGATGTCAGCCACCCTGTCAGCCTTCCCCTCTTGACTGGAGAGGACTCAAGTTTTCCAGCCCAGAGGTGCACACAGCCATTCATTTTTTTGGTTTATTTTTTGACCAAGAGTTAATGAATCCCCACTATGTACATAGACTTTAAGAGCACAGGCTGGAGGCAGTTCAGTGACTAGGACACAGACCTTGAACTGCAAAATTATAAGAGGGAAGGACTCAGGGCTTTCAGAGGCCTGTTTGAGCAGGGCCTGGGCTCAGGCTGGTGGGGGGCCTCTTGGGAGGGCAGGGTGGTGGCACCATAACTGGAGAGGCCTCCAGTGGGACTTGAGGATTCATGGGGGCTCTGTCAGAATTCTCAAGGGGAACTCCTGTCCCAAGAACTTGGAGTGCTCTTCCTCCCCCTGAACCTCCTATGGAAGAGGCACCAAGCTGGGATGCCACGGAAGAAAAAGGGAGAGCAAAAAATTGGCTGAGCCACCGGGACACAGGGGAGTCCCTGAGGGAGCGGCCACGGGAGCGCACAGACCTTCGGACCCCACGGCGTGGGCTGATGCCCCTGTTCAGGTGGGTAGGCTGCTCCTGGGCAAGATGGTCAGGAGGCCCTTGGGTGGCAGGGGTGGGAGCTTGGACCACATAGGAAGATGAAGACCACCGGGAACCACGGTGCATTCGGAGGGGCAAGTGGCTGGCGTGACGAAAGTGGGTGGTTCTTTGTGCTCTGTGCAACAGGAGACTGATCCCGCGGTGGACAGCAGGCTCCTGGTGCTCAGCAGGCTGGCTGGGAGGCATAGCATCAGGGATGACAGCTTGCTCAGAGGGATGGTGGGGAGACCAAGCTGGGGGGCGGCATGTGCCAGTGGGCAGGCAGAAGGCCCGGTGGTGGTGGGGATAGAATGATCCTCTTGCTCTCTGCAGGGAGTGGGCTGGCAAGGACTGTGGTGGCTCTGCGCTCTCCATGGGCTCTGCACTCTCCATGGGCTCAGTGCTCTCCATGGGCTCAGTGCTCTCCGTGGGCTCAGCGCTCTCCGTGGGCTCAGCACTCTCCATGGACTCAGTGCTCTCCGTGGGCTCCACGCACTTTCCAATACAGAACCTCAGACTGAGGGCTGGAAGGGACTTCCGGGGCCACCCAATAATCTTTTACTCTATTCAGATCCCCTTTTTCCTTGGACAGGTGAAAGCCCAGCCTCTACTGACAAACCTCCAGGGACAGAAGGGTCACTACCCAGGAAGACACTTGTTTCACTGTGGAATGGCATTTTGGGACTTTTTTGGTTTTGTTTTTGAGGGGGGGAGTTTGTTTGTTTTCTGAGACAGGGTCTCACTCTGCCACCCTGGCTAGCGTGCTGTGGTGTTATCATAGCTCATAGCAACCTTAAACTATTGGGCTCAAGTGATCCTCCTGCCTCAGCCTCCCACGTATGCCATGATGCCCAACTAGTTTTTCTATTTTTGGTAGCGATAGGGTCTTGCTTTTGCTCAGGCTGGTCTCAAACTCCTGAGCTCAGACAATCCACCCACCTCAGCCTCCCAGAGTGCTAAGATTACAGGCGTGAGCCACCACATCCAACCTTGTGGGATGGCTTTCAAGTTCTTTCTTACATGGAGTCAATGCTCACTTGTTTGGCCCATAACTGGCGATGCCCCATGGCCTCACACCTCTTTACTGGCCCTCACTGGCTGCCATTAACCAGGCAATGAATGATTGTCCAGCCCTCCTCTATGAGGACTTAGAGGACAGAAAAGGCATAAGGAAGCTCCAGCCAAAGGCCTTGGACATTCCAGAAAAGAAACAGGTCTCTGAAGGGTAGCCCACTACAAGCATTTCAGAATACATATGGCTACTGAAGGCTCTTGCCCTGGTGTAGTGGGAGGGCCAGGACTGTACAGGCATGTGGGTGACAGCATTTAGAGACTATCCTGAAAACAGTTTAGGACTCATTAATTTGCTGAGAGATTCCCTAAGCTCAAGCCATGTCTAAGAGTCACCTGCTATTGCTGTCCCCCCTGGGACCTGGGATGGGGGCAGGCAGAGTCCTGGGACCAAACTTCTGGGCCACTCACCGAGTGTTCTGCATCTGAGTCTTCCGAGCTGCTGATCACAAAGACGCAATTCTCTGAAATAGAGTGGGAGAGATGGCATTAGGCGCTGCCCAGGATGCACGTGGAAGGCTGAGGCATTCAGCTGGGGGGATCCTTGCAGGCTAGGGGGCTGGAAGTTGGTGGATGCCCTGCGGGGGATGTGAACATTCACTGTGTGTCCCAGTGTGGATCTGCTTTGGGTTTGGCTTAATGGGTTTCCATCATTTCTTGCTGTGCCTCAACTGTGCACATCTAATTAAGCTATTGGCCCTGAGTCCAGAGTTCGATCCCTGCACAGGAGGCTGCACCATCACCAGCTGGTCTGGAACTTTTTTGCATATTGCTTTGTCCCAATTCTCAGCCCCATGAAGTGGGACGTGCAGAGTTAAAAGATGCTTCATCTGGTTATTCACACTCTTTAATTACCAAAGGCATTTGTGGGTAAGGAAGTTCCCCCAGGGCTCAGGGTGTAACTATGGCTGGAGCTCAGTCTGGGGAGCCAGAATGAAGAACAAAGCTGTACCTAGGGTGAGGCAGATCCAAGAAGAACTCTTTTGTTCCGGAATTCTCTGGGTTGACCTCATCTCCTGCCCAAGGACTGACTCCCCATCTCAGACAAATGAGACCCTCAGGTGGGTGGTCTTTACAGAAAACTTGGGGAAATGATGGGTGTGGACTTTAAGTCCTCTCTGGGAACATACTAGGCATCCACCAAGAGACACTTCTTGGGGAGATCTGCCCTGCACAGCAGCATGATGCTGAGCATTGTGAGATTAATGTTTTGGGACAAGGATGCATAAAATTATTTAGCTGACCTCCTTGGACAGCCCACACTGTAATTATAGCACAGCACATGATAAACTGTATCAGAGTCTGAAGCCTAGGCAAACTGAGGGCTATTCCATGGTAGGTCAGAGCAGGACACACAAGGGCCTCCCGTTGGCTTTGGGCTCCCTGAGTGGGGTAAGAATGCAGAAGAGGCCCCCTCGCCCCAACCCTGGAGGGTAGCTCACAGGCTGCTACCCCACCCAGCTCCCTACCTGCCTCCTCAATGTCATCGGTCCCATGGCTGCTGTTGAGTGAGGAAATGTCAGCTTCTTTGATGGGGGTCTTAGGGCTGGGCAGCCCATCCAGGTGGGGTGGTGAGACTGCCCTGGAGGTGCTGGGCCTGGGCTGCTCAGAGGAGTTCAGAGCCAACTTTGCTTCCTTATCCTCCTCAGACTCCATCTTGATGACCTTTCTGGGGCATTCAGTTTGGCAGGACTTCCTCTTCTGGGGGACGGCTATCTTGGGGATCTCCTGCACAAAGAGGAGTCACAAGGCCAGGTCAGTGCCTCCAGGGCCTGGTGGGCAGAGCCCATGAGCTCTTTGCTCCCACAGGCCCCTCTGCCATTGAGCCCTCTCCTGTTCTTGGCCATGCAGATCATGCCACTCTGCAGAAAGAAAGCACTCCTAGGCTGGTCCTGGTTGCCAACCGCCAATCTCTACTGGCCTCTAACAGCCCTAGGTGTCTCAGAGTCCTCCCATCCCTACTCCCAGGCATGAGCCACTCCCAGCCCAACGGGAGTTTCCTGACCATGCAGCCAAAAGCAAGAGAGGGCACAAAGATGGTGCAGAGGAGCACTTCCCGGTGAAGAGCTGATAAGGGCTCAGATTGTCACCCTAGTGCCACCTCACCATCTTGGTGGAATCTGGGGCTTCTAGAAGGGAGGCACAGGCTATCCAGAACCTTACCTCTCTGTAGGAGGAGTCTTTGATGGAGTAGGCATACATTGGCTTAGGGTGTGCCCCAGGCACGGACTGTACCACTGCCATACATTGGTTTTCAGCCAGCTCCAAGGCCGTGGCCTCGGCCTGGGCCTGCATCTGCACTCTCTGGGGTACCTCCTCAGGCTACAAAGGCAGGAAAATAGAGTCAGAAATGCCCAGGCAACAAACCCAGGGCAAGGGATCCCAGATCTATGGTCGGCCCAATCCTAGAGCCTCACTCTGTCACATGATCAGGCTCCCCAGTGCAAAGCTCAGGGCTCACTGGGGATAAGGAGTCCTCACCAAACCCTCTGTGATGGCCTCTCCTTCTGCCCCTGGGTTGCTGGTGCCCAGGGACCACTTCAATTCTTGAGTGTCCTAACAGCACTGGCAGAGGCCACAGGGATCACACTGCCCAACTCCTCCTCCAGATATGCTCAACAGCCTAGCCACACTTACACGCATCCAGGGACAGAGTGCTCATTACTGGTAGAAGCAGCAGCTCCAACAGGTGCAAGATTCTAGCAGTGAGAAAACCCTCCCATTGAGCTGCCAGTACCCTCCCTATGACCTTAACTCCTCCCCTTTGGCCTCAACTCTAAGTTGGCCACAAGTTGGACAAATTACTCAAAACTGAACCGGTCTCAGTTCTCCTGTGTAAAATAGGAATAATAGCATCTATCTCATATGGTAATATGGATGTAATGTAATTATATTAGCAAAATGTTTAGAAGAGCACCTGGTACATAGAAAGTATCTCTCATGATGGTGATGATGATACAGATGGTGAGAAATACTGTCTTCATTTCTACTCTGTGCCAGGCACTGCTTCACATACTCATTTTTTTTTTTTTTTTAAGACAGAATCTCACTATATCGCCCTTGGTAGAGTGCTGTGGTATCACAGCTCACAGCAACCTCCAATCTTGGGCTTAAGTGATTCTCTTGCCTCAGCCTCCCAAGCAGCTGGGACCACCAGTGCCTGCCACAATGCCTGGCTATTTTTTGTTGTAGTTGTCATTGTTGTTTAGCTGGTCTGAGCCAGGTTTGAACCCGCCACCCTTGGTGTATATGGCTGGCACCGTAACTTCTTTGCTACAGGCACCAAGCCTGCACACAAACTCATCTTAAATGAAGTACAGGCAGGTCCTCAAAAAGCTAAATACAGGCCGGGCATGGTGGCTCACAACTATAATCCTAGTGCTTTGGGAGGCTGAGGCAGGTGGATTGCTTGAGTTCAGGAGTTCAAGACCAGCCTGAGCAAAAGTGAAACCCCATTTCTACTAAACATAGAAAAAAATAGCCAGGTGTTGTGGCAGGCGCCTGTAGTCCCAGCTACTCTGGAGACTGAGGCAGGAGGATCCCTTGAACCCAAGAGTTTGAGGCTGCTATGAGCTATGATACCACAACACCCTACTGAGGAAGACAAAGTGAGACTATGTTTCAAAAATATATATATATAAATATATAATTACCATCATTTTATGACCCACCAAATCTACTTGTAAGTATGCATACCCAAAAGTACTAAAAACAGATGTTCAAACAAATACTTGTACATAAATGTTCATAGCAGCACTACTCACAATAGCCAAAAGGTAGAAACAAACCAAATGGCTATCCAGTGATGAATGGATGAACAAAATGTGGTGCATCCACGCAATGGGATATTACTCAGCCATAAAAAGTAATGGAGTACCAATATGTACAACATGGATGTGCCTCGAACATACTATGCTAGAGGGAAAAAGCCAGACACAAAACACATCCCGCATGATTCCATTTATATGAAATATACAGAATAGCTAAATCTAAAACAACAGAAAGTAAATTGGTGGTTGCCAGGAGAGTAGGGAGGGAGCAGGAAACGGGGAATGACTGCTTCATGAGTATACATGGGGTTTCCTTTAGGAATGATGAAAACATTCAGTAATTAGATAGTTGGTAATGGTTGTATGAGAGTATAAATGTATAGGAGGCTGAGGCAAGAGGATCACTCAAGCTCAGAATTTGAGGCCAGCCTGGGCAACACCATTTTTTTTTAAGAAAAAAAAAATTACAAAGATTGCGAATGTACATGCAAGAATGGTGAAACAAACACATGTACTCAATACCAAATAGAAACTAATCAATCAACACTTAAGTGTATATATAAAAATAAATCTCAATGAAAATCAATCTGAGGGCTCAGTGTCCATAGTTCAGTGGTTATGGCGTTGGCCACATACACTGCGGCAGGCAGGTTCAAACCTGGCCCGGGCCTGCTAAACAACAACAACAACAACAAAAATAGCCAGGCATTGTGGCGGGCACCTGTAGTCCTAGGTACTTGGGAGGCTAAGGCAAGAGAATTACTTAAGCCCAAGAGTTTGAGGTTGCTGTGAGCTGTGACATTAGGGCACTCTACTGAGGGTGACAAAATGAGACTCTGTGAAAAGAAAAGAAAGGAGGGGAGGGGAGGGAAGGGAAGGAAAAGGGAGAAAGGAAAGGAAGAGAGAGAGAGAGGAAAGAAGGAAGGAAGGGAAGGAGGAAGGGAAAATCAAGCTGGGGATGGGGAGGAGGAGGATGGATAAATTCACACCTATTAGGTACAGTGCACACTGTGTGAAGGGCACACTTACAACTTTGACTCAATCTTTAAAAATAAAAAAGTATATAAACAAAACATGTGTACCCTCTAATACTGTGAAATAAGAAAATGTCACCCCCACAAAAAAGAAATGGTAAAAGTGTGAAAAAAATATTTCAAAAACAAAAAGGATTATGAATGTACTAAATATCACTCATTTGCAAAATGGTTAAAATGGTGAATCTTGTATGAATTTTACAATAAAAAAATTATAGTTTTATAAAAAGTAGGTGCTATACTATGACTATTGCTGATCGCCAGAACAGAAAACTCAGGCACAGAGACGTGAAGTGATTTCCAAAGGTCACACAGCTTAGGAAACCTGGCCTGCTATGAATCTAGTGGTTTATAAATGGCAGTTCCCCTCTTGCCCTTGTGCCCTCTCCCTTTAATCACATCCTTCCTTGTTGTCTTTCTCTATTTTGTGAAACTGAGGTATACACTGGACCATTTGTTGAAAATGAGTGAGTGGCAGGGATCTACTTTCCTCACAGACACAAGTTCTGTCCCTCCTAGGAGGGCCTCCTGAGAACTACTGGCCAATCCTGGTCTGGTTGAGGAGGATCACAACAGAGGCCACCGGGCAGGTGAGTTAAGGCAGGGAAGGCCCCAGCCTGGCACTGACTTTGGCAGATACTGGGAACTGGAACCCTGTGGCAGATCCTTCTTAGGGGCCCCCACACCATTTTCTATGATGGGTTGACCTCCCCTCTGCTCTCCTTTCTTTTTGTCAACATCTTTATACAGAGGGTGGAGAATGTTCTCCCTGGATCAAAGGGCTAGGAGCCTCTCTGGGGAAGGGAAAGAACAAATGATCTCCTGGGGTCTTTCTCTCCCAGGTCTCCAGGTGAAATCTATGCTCAACCACTAAGCTTTACAGGCCAGCGTTTTGGGAACTACAGCTTGAGACCCATTCACCCATTTGTGGATCATGAAAGGAATTTAGTGGGTGGTGCCCATAACTCAGTTGACAGGGCACTGGCCACTTACACCTAGGGTGGCAGGTTCGAACGTGGCCCAGGTCTGCTAAGCAACAATGACAACTACAACCAAAAAATAGCCGGGCGTTGTGGTGGGCGCCTGTAGTCCCAACTACTTGGGAGGCTCAGGCAAGAGAATCGCTTAAGCCCAAGAATTAGAGGTTGCTGTGACCTATGATGCCACTGCACTCTACCCAGGCTGACAGCTTGAGACTCTGTCTCAAAAAAAAAAAAAAAAAAGAAAGAGAGAAAAAGAAAGCAATTTAATGGGTCGTGACCAACATTTTTTATATTAAAAAGTATAGAATAGACATTATTGGAGGACGCTCCATATAGTAAGCATAATATGTTTTGAAAACTTCCATTTTAGCCACGGGTATATGTGTGTACGTGTGTATATACTGAACATGACTGTGTGAAATGTATTTGTTTTACAGGAAGTGGGTGGTCAAAAAAGCATCTAACCTGCCTCATAACCATGTGGATGACTATTATTTTTAAGAAAAAAAGACCACATATAGTGGGTCACACCTATAATCCCAGCACTTTGGGAGGGCAGAGGGTCACTCAAGGCTACAAGTTTGAGAGCAGCCTGGGTAGCATATTGAGGTCCCATCCCTACAAAACCTTTTTAAAAATTAGCCAGATGTGGTGGCACATGTCTATAGTCCCAGCTCCTCAGGAGGCTGAGGTTGGAGATTACTTGAGTACAGAAGTTCGAGGCTGCAGTGAGCTATGACCACACCACTGTAATCCAGCCTGGGCAACAAGGTAAGATGCAGCTTCTTAAAAAAAAGTAAGTGAGAGAGAAAACAAATAAATGTTGGTGAGGATCTAGACAAGTCGAAACCCTATGTACTACTGTCGGTGGGAATGTAAAATGGTACAACCAAATACAGAAAACAAGACGGCAGTTTCTCAAAAAATTAAAAATAAATTTTTATTTATTCAGAAATATATTCAGAAATTCCATTTCTGGGTATATAACCCAAAGAATTAAAAGCAGGGTCTCAAAGAGATATTTGTACGCCCGTCTTCATAGCAGCATTACTCACAATAGCCAAAAAGTTGAAGCAACCCAAGTGTCCATTACCAGGTGAATGGATAAACACATACAAATACATACAACGCAGTACTACTATTCAGCCTTCAAAAGGAAGAAAATTCTGACACATGCTACAATGTGGATGAACCTGGGGAACATCATACCAAGTGAAATAAGCCAGTCACAAAAGGACAAATACTGTATAATTCCATTTATCTGAGGCACCTAGAGTAGTGAAAGTCATAGAGACAGAAAGTAGAACAGTGGTTGCCAGGGGCTGAGGAGAGAGGCACTGGGGAGTTAGTATTATACGGAGTTTCACGTTGGGGAGATGAAAAAGTTCTACGTGGTGGTGATGGGTGTACAATAATGTGAATATACTTCTACTGTGAACTGTACATTTTCAAATGATTAGGATGGTGTGTTTTTTGTTAAGGTGCATTATACCATAATTTAGAAAAAATAATTTTTTTAAGGGGGGTTTAAAAAGTCTTGCTCTTTCCTTCTTTGTCTGGCTCTGCAAATGACTGGTACATAAAGACTCCCTTTCCACTTCAGCCGTGAACTTCTCGGGGGGGCCTCTCTGCTTCTGCCCCACCCTCCCTCCTACCTCCCACTAATGTTAATGAAGCAGGGGATGCAGAGGAAAAGAAACACAATGACTGGCTACAGTTGATTTATAGCTATAAAATAATTTTTTTTCAATAAAGTATTGTAACATCATTATAAAAAGAGCCTATGAGAAGGAGGAGGGAAAATACTGGGGGGTGCTGCTGCCCTACCCGGACACTCCCAGGTAAGCCTGTTGGTATGTTTTCTCTTCCTCTCTTCCAGGTGCACAGTTGGATGAAGGTAAACAAACTGGCAGTTTCAAGAGGAACAAGTGCTGGAACTAGAAGCCCAGCTCCTGCCTCCTAAGGCAGAAACATGGGTCCAAGAGCTGCCTCTCCCCTGGCATGGCTGATGGAGCCGCAGGGATAGCCCATCTCTGCCTGCTTCACCTGTCCTTTGCACTCACACTGTGTTACCTGTTTCCCTCCTTCAGCTCCAGCACCTCCCACAGCCAAAGACTAAAGTGAAAAGCAAGAGGCTTTGCAAAAAGGGCGTTCCTCTGATGCACTAAGTTCAAGCTGTTTCACAGTTGATAATGAGAAGCCACATCTGCTCAGCTCTCTTGTTCATTAATCAGTGACTGGTACTTAGAAGATAACTGAGTCTGTAGGCCAAAGGCATTTTCCCATTATTATTTCACATTATTTCATATTTCCAGACATTATCCATTATGATATTATTTGTAATAGCAAAACAATCCAAATATGTACCGACATATGGCTAAATAAACCACACTCCATCCATTCGATGGACCACTATGCTGCTGTAAAAAGGTATCAGGATCTTACAAGGGTACAAGTGAATCTTTCTAAGAGTAGAATGTGAACGTTTTAAAACAATAACTAGGCTTGGTGCCTGTGGCTCAAGTGGCTAAGGCGCCAGCCACATATACCTAAGGTGGCAGGTTCAAATCCAGCCTGGGCCCGCCAAACAACAATGATGGCTGCAACCAAAAAATAGCCGGGTGCCTGTGGTCCCAGCTACTTGGGAGGCTGAGGCAGGAGACTCGCTTGAGCCCAGGACTTGGAGATTGCTGTGAGCTGTGATGTCAGAGCACTCTACCCAGGGGGATAGCTTGAGGCTCTGTCTCAAAAAATAAAATAAAATAAAATAAAACAATAACTAAGAAAATGACATGAAGGGTATGTTAACCAGTTTGATGGAAGTGTTACGGATTGTGTGTGAAAACCCCACACTGTACCCCAGAAGTGCATTAATGTACATAGTTACCATTCAATTAAAAAAAAAAAAGGGGCTGGAGTTCCGAATGCGTGCCCTTGAGAACTGCCTGTAAAGTGCACCGAAACCCGTGCCTAACTTATACATTCTAATTGAATTATCTTTATTCCTGAAAAGTACTTATTGAAGGCATAGGGTGTACCCTATGCTCTGGTAGGCACTGGAGGAAGGAGTTGGTAGATGTTATTGGGTTGTGATGGGTGCTCAGAGGGAAGTGGAATTCAGTGAAAGAATGGTGGTGGGAGAGGTGCAATTTGCTCAGTAGGTTGGGAAAGAGTTTGCATTTGAGCTGAGATCTGATGGACAATCAAAAACTTAAGGAGAAGTCATTCCCAGGCAAGAAAAAGCGTAGGTGCAGAGGCCCCAAGAAACTTGGTTCTTCCACAAGTGGACCAGAGCGAGTGTGGACTGTCATGTAGTGAATGATGATGGGATTAGGAAAGGAGAGAAATAAATTCCCAGGAAACTCTGGGAAAAAAAAAGGTATCAAGGAGGTATCAGGAAGCTCCCTACCTACTGACAGTATAAGAAACTCTGAACATATCACTGCAGAGTGGAAAAACCTAGGATGTAATCAAGGGATGTTAAGAAAATATCCAGCCATTGTTATCATACACAGTACTGTGCTACCTTTGTGCAAAAATAGAGTGGAAAAAGCAAACATTATAATCACATTTGCTTGTAATTACATAAAGAAATTCTGGAAGGTTATATAAGAAACAAATAAAGGTAAGTCAGACATTGTGGTGGGCGGGCTACTCAGTGGGCTGAAGCAAAGGGATTGCTTGAGCCCAAGAGTTTGAGGTTGCTGTGAGCTATTATGACCCCACAGCGCTCTACCTAGGGTGACAGAGTGAGACTCTGTCTCAAAAAAAAAAAGAAAGAAAAGAAAAAAGAAAGAAATATAGATAGGTACATGGGTATAAGAACTGGACAAATGAGGGATAATGCAGTGAAACATCACTTTATATATTTCTATTTCTGACCTTGTGATTGTACCATTAATCAAGAAATAAAATGCTTTTTACTTTTGAACCATTTGTACGGGAATGCAGTACCCATAGCAGTTAAGAGTTGGCTTTTAGTCTTGTCCCCGACTTATTATGTGTGGCCTTGGGTAAGTCACAACCCCCTGGCCTTAGCTTCATCTGTTAAAAATAAGAGATAGGCTCCATGGTCTCTCCTATCTCTAAAACTCTCAGACTCCAAGTCCTGCCTCCTCCAGGAAGCCTCTCCTGATTGCCTCAGCCTATAGCAATCTCTCTCTTCTATAAGTCACTCCAAGACAAAGCTAGGAAGCTATTCCAGACCCTTCCTCCCACCAGAAGACCTGCTATACATGGAAGACTGGCAGTCCTGGGCCCAGATCCTCAACAGGCAGGCACACTGAAAACTGAGTGACCAGGCTGGGAAGGAGACCAGATGCCAGGTCCAGGAAGGAACTGAAGAAGCTTATCCTGGGGGAGAGGACCATGCTTGCAAGCCCCCCTCCCATCAAGGGGATGCCACCACATTTCATCTAAGAGCAGTCAACAGGTGATGGAGGTTTCCCCAAGAATGAGCAAGCTTCCTGTCCCTTGAGGTGTGTGCTCAAAAGCTGGACAGCCGTGGGTCAGGGGTGCTGCAGAGGAAATACCAATGTTAGATAGCATAGGGGTAGCATCTAAACTGAGAAACTGTGGTTCTAAGATATATAATGATCCTGGCATCACACCAACAGAATCCAGGCTGCTGGGGTTCAGATCTGACTTCTGGCCTCATTCTCTGTTCCTCTCTAAAAACCATGTGTGTGGGAAGAACAAGGGAAGGTCCACCCATGTTGACCCTAGGAAAAGGCTCCCACATTTAGGGTGGGTACAGAGAGCAGAGGTCATCTTCCACATCCATCAGGGCTGCTGTAAGTGACCACTTCCTTTACCATCTGTCCACACCTGGCATTTAGGAGCTCAGAGTCAGCCAGCCAATCCTTTCTCCCACGAAAGCTACTGTCCAGCCACTTGCTGCCCCTATCCCAGGCACTCTCCCTGCAGATACAGGGGCAGCAGGACTCACAGTCACCCTGACCTGTTGGGCTCTACGACCTCCCGTTCAGACCTTAAACCCATCTCACCAAGTCATCATCAGAAGCGTCCCTGAGAGGGCTGGCTCTGTTGCACAGAACTGCATCTGGAAAATACAGAGAAGGTCACAGGCAGGTCAGAGACACCCCAGTGAGGAACAGAGGGGCATCCTGGCCTGAACAGGGACAGAGGAGGTCCTTAATGCTTTTCCTGGCTACCTATTCTCCACGGCATCTCACTGCACTGGACAGCTGCAGGCAGAGGCTGGTGGTGGAAAGGGACGCTTTTCTCAACTACTGTGTACATGAACCCATCCAGAAGGGAAAGAGAGGTGGCCTTAGAGAGTGCCTGCCTTTAGCTCCAAACCCCAAGCGTACCGCTGTATCTCTGAGCCACCAGCAAGCAGCAGTGTGGACAACCAACCACAAAGCTATTACTGCTCATTGACTACATATAGTGAAAGCGCCATGATAGTCTTCCCTACCAGCAATCCAGTTTCTATTTAAATCTAAAGTTAAATTTTATTTCAATCAATTTAATTTTATTTAAATCTAAACCTCTCATGCTTCTGAATAAAATAACTTCTCTCTGCCACTGACAAGTTATAATACCCAAGCCTAGCCATTTAAGCTCTGTGGGGTTGTTTCCTGGATATGGGGTAATACTCACTGCCTAGGTGAAGAAGGCACAAGTCTATGCCCACCCTAGGACTGTCCTTTACAAGCCCACCCACATCAGCTCCAGGAGGAGTAAGTGTGCCCTTCATCACTGGCACCTGTCCAGGTGCCTTCAGAATGTGTAGCTTCTCTCCCCTTTCTCAGTAAGGGCATCCTGCACTTGGCTGTTCAGAACTTAGAGATCTTGTCAAAGAACCCTGGAGGCCCTCTTGTACACTCCCCCTCCACTTGTTTGAAAGCCTCCCTGATGTCTCCAGCTCATACAGAGCTGCTACCAACTCCTGGATTTGCACTGCAGACCTAAGCACTGTCTCACCGGTCCATTATCCAACTAGGATGTGGCTCTGGCTCCTCTCCCAGTTGGAGTGGACTACTCTTGAGATCAGGAGCTGGTCTGCTGTCTCGTGATCCCCCAAGTGCCTAATACTAGGCAGGGCCCACCAAAAGTTGGCAGCTTGTTTCAGATGGCAGGTCAACCTGGGGGCAAGGGATCTCCTTCACTGAGTTACTGCATGCTTTTGGGCAAGCACTCAACAACCCGCGAGGTTTTCTTAGTCTCCGGCTCTAACCCCACATTTCAATTGACTTTTCTGTTTCTGGGTACAGAGAAGTCTTAAGAAAACCTCCTGAAGTGGTCAGTTCCTCTGCAGTTAACGTGATACCAGGATGGGTTCTCAGCTTTACAATTTCTTAACTTTCACGTGTTCTGCCAGGGTTCCAAGGCCACAGCTAGCCCATGGATCTTGTAAATTAGTAAAATGTGTGCCCTCTGCGTGGCTGCTGCCTGGGTCAGAGCCTCCTCTCCCACTTTATTTTTCACCTTGGAACCTAAGACCTGACCAAACCCAAGAGACTTAGTAAAAACTCAGTTTCCTTTTCTGTCAAATCAAAGTGACCTTTTGACTCGCCATCAAGCTGGCAAACAGACTGACCACAAGGGCAGCTTACCTGTACCCTGGGTGATGCTAGAGGTGAGGACCTCCAGGCGCGCCCTAAACTCGTCGAAGCTGTCCGTGTGCACTGTGGCTTGCGGGGTCTGGGGCTGCTCCTGACACAGGCGGCGGAGCGCCTCTCGCAGGAAGCCGTGCATGTCCATTACCTCCTGGTCAGAGGCGAAGCGCCTCATCTTCTGCACGAGCATGCCACCCATGCGGATGCGCTGAAGCTTGGTGTTCAGGCTGCCCAGCTGCCTGGCCATCTCTTCGTAGTCGCGCTCGTAGCGCTCCTTCACGGCCTCCAGTAGGTTACGCTCCTGCGCCTCCACGTGCTTTACTACCTCGCGCACCCGCTCGCGGATCAGTGCCTCCATCTCGGAGCGCCTGTGGCCCAGCTGGCTCACCACCGCACTCATCTGAGCATGCACCTCACCAAAGGCGCTGTCCTGCTCCTGCAGTCCCTGAGTCATCGAGTCCAGCTCCTTCTGCCGCTGCTCAATCTCCAGGTTGATGTCGCATTTAAGATCGCTGTGACTACTGTCCAGGAGCGCGCACGTACAGCACAGTGGCTTGGAACAGCCCCGGCAGTAGATGCTGCAGACACACAAGGCCAGCCTGGGTTAAGACATCCCTGCCTTTTTTTTTTTTTAAACTTAAATTTTCAACTTTAAATTCTTCTTCCCAAATTATCAAACACTCAATCATGGCATGTTTCTAAATCCTCTATGCTTTTCCCAAAAGTGTTTGGGTTATGATGAGAATAATATCCAAACTACCAATAAAACATGAGTACCAATAATATCCAAACTACCAATAAAACATGTGTCTGTGGCTCAAAAGGGTAGGGTGCCAGCCCCATATGCAGGAGGTAGCTGGTTCAAACCCAGCTGCTGGGCCAAAAAAAAACCCAAACAAACCATGAGTATAAAAAGTTACTGCAACGACTTCAACATCTGTGAAACAACTGGAGGCTAAACAGAGAAAACAGTGTCCTTCCACTACATCTGAATTTCCCCTCCCTACGAGCCAGGTCAGCGACATGACATGCACCCTTCTACACCTCTCTCCACTCAGACTGACTCAGGAAAGTGACTCCCAATGCTGAGAGCCACTTGAGGTACAAGTGGGTTCTTGGCTCTGTGCAAGAAAGAACTCAGGAAACAACAATATAGGCAGTAAAGTGAAAGCAAGAGTCATTCAGAAACTGTAGAAAGTCTACTTCAGGCCTGGCATAGTGGCTCACGCATGTAATCCTAGCACTCTGGGAGGCCAAGGTGGGTGGATTGCTTGAGCTCAGGAATTCCAGACCAGTCTGAGCAAAGAGTGAGACTCCATCTTTATTAAAATGAAAAAATGAAGCAAGAGGATTGCTTGAGGCCAGTTTGAAGTTGCTGTGAGCTTTGACGCCTGGGTGACAAAGTGAGATTCTATCTCAAAAAAAAAAAAAAAATATATATATATATATATATCATTAAAAAATAAAAGCCTGGGTGGTGCCCAGGGCTCAAAAGAGTAGGGCGTCAGCCCCATATGCCAGAGGTGGCAGGTTCAAACCCAGCCCCAGCCAAAAACTGTAATAATAATAATAATAATAATAATAAAAGTCTGCTGGCCTGAAAGAGCAGAGGCAAGTTCTCCAGGAAAAAGAGAACTGCCCCTAGTTCCTTTTGCCTTTCTATTTAATTAATGGGCTAAAGAAGGGAAGGACTATTCATGGCAGGGGCAGTGTTCCGCCACCATCTTGGTGCTAATCAGTTGAAACTTGCCTTGCCTGCATCCTGTTTTGAGAGGCACAATGTGAAACTGTTTTCACTCAGGTAAAGTTATAGCAATGCCTAAAGCAATGCTCAAGGAATTGCCTGCAGCAATGCTGTACCCAAAGCAGTAGCTGCCAGTTCCCTATCTCAAAACTGCCTCACAACAATCCCAGACTGCTGCTGCTTGCAGGATTTTACGGATTTGACACACATCAAACATCACACTTAACCTTTGCAAGAGATGGTTAGGTGAGAATTATGGATCTCCTCATCTCACAAATGAAATTATAAAATTGGCCCAAATATTTACAACAATTTGGGGATTGAAGTTTGTTCTAAAAAAATGGCATCATGCCATATTATTACTTTGTAACTTCCTCCTGGTAGGGGTCTCCAGAACCCCAGCCCCAGTTTGGGCTTTCTCTGGGTGCCACTAGCAAGTGGTTCCCAGAAACCTAAAGTGACTAGGCTGGGGCAAGAAAAGAAGTCAAGTTGCAGCGGAGCTGGCACAAAAAGAGGAAACCAGGCAGTAAAACACCTAAAGTGATCTCTCTCACCTCTTCTCTCGTTCATGAGAGGGACCCACTTCCAACTCTCTATGTATGTGTCCTTTTTTTTTTTTTTTTTTTTTTTTTTTTGAGACAGAGTTTCATTCTGTGCCCTGGGTATGTCATGGTGTCATAGCTCACAGCAACCTCAAACTCTTGGGCTCAAGAGATCCTCCTGCCTCAATCTCCCAAGCAGCTGCGACTACAGGTACCAGCCACAACACCTGGCTGTTTTTTAGAGACAAGGGTCTCATGCTTGTACAGGCTGGTCTCAAACTCCTAAGTTCTAATTCTAGGCTTCCCAGAGTACTAAGATTATAGGTATGAACAACTGCCCCAACTCTCTTTAGAAGTGTTCTAAGCTTTCTCTTTGTTCTTAAATAAAATTTCTCTTTGTTATACTGAAACTTAGTTGCCTCAGGCAAAATCTGCAAATAACAAACAAACAAACAAAAGCAAAAAGTTTATTTAAGCAGATAGTTTACTCCTAAGAAAGGAATGGGCCTTATCTTCACAATGAGGAAGGACCTACCGCCCCATAATCTCCACTAGAGCAATCTATTTTCCCAGCCCCAGCTTTGCTCTTCCTATTTCTAATGGGTTTTTTTGTTTTGATTTATTTTGTTTTTATTTCTTTGCTTATTCTTTGCTTTTTTTTTTTTTTGTTATTGAGACAGAGTCCCATCTTATGCCCTGAGCAGAGTGCAATAGCGTCATAGCTCACTGCAATCTCAGACTCCTCAGACTCAGGCTATGGGCATCCAGATGCCTCAGACTCCGCAGAGCCTGGCTGGGTTTTTTGTTTGTTTGTTTGTTTTTTATGAGTCTGGGTCTCACTCTCAGGCAAGTCTTGAACTCCTGAGCTCAAGCAATTCTCCCTCCTTAGCCTCTCACAGTGCTGGGATTACAGGCGTAAGCCACCATGCCAGGCCCTATTTTTAGTGTTTATATATTTCTTAGCTCGTGTTTATGCATTTCTAAACTCATGTTTGTGTACTTCTATTCCCTAATACTTCCCACAATGCCATTGTAACTGTATACAGGGTGGTGGCAAATGTCAATGATATTTTAATGAAAGGCTCCATGTCAAAAGGTCAATTTTTAGGTGCCCCATTTATAACTGTGCAGAAATCATAGATGCTCTTGAGGTTTGACAGCTCCTATGGCCTAACATGTACCCATTTCAGAGGGTCCTTTGTCCAAAGGAAGCTCTTAGCCAGATCTAAAAATCTGGATTGGGTTGGATGGTTCCTCTGTCTCAGCAATCATCTGCTTTTCCTCTTAACCTGGTTTTCTCTCTGTCCCTAACACCTCCTCTAATTTAACTTTTTTTGAGACAGAGTCTCACTATGTTGCCCTGTAGAATGCTGTAGCATCACAGCTCACAGCAACCTCAAACTCTTGGGCTTAAGCAATTCTCTTGCCTCTGCCTTCCAAGTAGCTAGGACTATAGGCACCTACCACTGGGACTATAGGTGCCTACCACAGGGCCTGGCTATTTTTTGGTTGCAGTTGTCATTGTTGTTTGGCAAGCCCAGGCCAGGCTCGAACCTGCCAGCCTCGGTGTATGTGGCCGGCGTCCAAAGAGTTCTAACTTTCATTCAGGACATTCCTCTAAGTCTATAAGCATGAATCTGCTGTATTCTCTTTAATAGTTCCATTATACTCCAGATGGGCCACAGTTGATTTAATCCGTTTGATTGATGTTCAGATCATTTCCTCTTTGTGCATTTTATTTCTTTTCATTTTTCCTGTTTGTGTCTTTTTTAATGCTAATCTGAATGCTACATTAGTAATATCCACATTATATAGCCTAATCATAGGATACTGTTGTCTCTATGAAATAGATGACAAATGATAGGACTGTTAGATTAGAATTTGTGTTCTATTTCAATATTTTTATCTTTAATTAATATACTTTAGCTAGCAGACACTTCTGTTGTAATTGTTATATATCAGAGACTATTGAGGCAAAATAATTTGTCCTAAGTTCATGCAATTAGTAATTGTGAAGTCTGGATGCAAACTGTAGTATGAGGAAAAATGGTCCCTAAAGATATCCATGTCCTAATTCCCACAAGCTGAGAGTATGTTACCTTACAACGCAAAAGGGTCTTTGCAGGTGTGATTACGATAAGAATCTTGGGATAATGAGATTATCCAAGAGTATCTGGGTGGGTCCAATGTAATCACGAAAGTCTTTATAAAAGGAAGAGGGAGGAGGCGAGCGAGAGGGGTGATAAAAACAGGGGTGGGAGTGATGCTCTGCTGACGGCTCTCAAGAAAAGGCGGCCATGAACAAAGGAGTCTGGGCAGCCTTTGGAAGCTAAGAAAAGTGGGAAAACAGATTCTCCCCCAAGAGTAAGGTGACCAGATGTCCCACTTTTGGTGGGCCAGCCCCGATTTTAAACAATTTGTCCCAAGTCCTGCAGTGTTTTAAAAAAGTCCTGATTTTTAGAAAGAATGCATGACAAGCTAGGGAATAGCGGGAGAATGGGAAGAGAATATACGTTGGCTGCTGAAAAGGTTAATGTAACTCCATTTGGGAATGAAGAGGTTAATGTAACTTCATTTGGAAATGAAAAGGCTAATGTAAACTCCCTACTCCCCTCCTGGGCAAGGTATCAGAAGGAGACTGGCTCCCTCCCTTGCTTCTAGGCAAGGACCATTAGCTCGGAAGGAGCCAAACTATCTGGAACAAACAAGTAGTCCCCCCAGTAAGGTGACCAGTCCCAATTTTTAACAATTTGTCCTGCGTCCTGCGGTGTTTTAAAAAAGCCCCAATTTTTGGAAAGAATGCACAACAAGCTAGGGAACACGGGAAAACAGGAAGGGACTATGCGGTTTTCAGCTGCCATGTGGCTATTTCACCAGGATATGCGTTTTATATTATTTTTGTTAATTTTATAATGTTAAACTTTAATAATAACAAATAATTGTTGAGAACTGATTATCGAGAATGGCTTATCAAAGTTTGCATTGTTGTCAGCCCCCCCCCAGGCCCCGCCTCCCCCAATGGTGTCCTGCTTTACCAATGTTAAAATCTGGTCACCTTACCCAAGAGCCTCCCAAAGGAACAAAGCCTGCTTACACCTTGATTTACCTCCATGAGACCCATTTTAGACTTCTGACCTCCGAAACTATAAAACAATAAATTTTTATTTTTTTCTTTAAGACAGAGTCTCACTTTGCCACCCTTGGTAGGGTGCTATGGTATCATAGCTCACAGCAACCTCAAACTCTTAGGTTTAAGCAATTCTCTTGGCTCAGCCTCCCAAGTAGCAGGGAC